TATGCATAAAAAAATGATGCGTCTTCCCATTCATCTCTATTTGATTCAATTGGTCTTTCCAACAATGCATCAGCACCTTAAGTTCAACACTTGTAACACCAACAGATTCACAATCATTTGATTCATGGTCGATATTGCATATTGGGATGAACATCATCACTGTCACGGACGCTGTAACATGATGCATCAATACATCACCTAGGTCTAACTCTAAGTCAGGAACATATTAACATTTATCACGGCAAACACTCAATGCATCTGATGCCGACACTTCGGCCCCCATCATAGCCATCATAGCCATCACTCACACTTCAATTGCACGCAGCGGGTGTGCATGCTAAGCGTACGCCGAGAGGTACACTCGTACTGCACTTTCACTTTCATTTGGACAGGGAATTATCAATGATTACTTTAACAATTTCTCATGCTATTTCCCTCGCTTTGTGACGGGGAGTTCTCACACTATACAATTTATCAGTTTCACGCGACATGCTCACAAAAATAACGTTGAAAGAGAAAGAAAATCATTCATTTACCATGCAGTGTTGGTACTCCCCGGCAACTGATCCAGACAAATGGACAGGATATGGCTGACGTACGTTGCAATTGCATGAGCACATGGGCATGCGCACGCATGCAATTTTTTTTACCCGGATGTAGCGGTACTAGGTCGTATTTGCTACGTTGGCCCAACGTCATATAGCCCACCAATATATACATGCACTATTTATCAGTAAAGATGGAGACGATATAGACCAACGTTAAGCCAAGGTTGGCCCAACGTCGCGTATATTAGCCAACATATCCACCATTTCTCAGTAAAATTTGAAACGATGGACCAACATTGAGCCAACGTTAATAGCCAAACGTCGAATAGCCAATTAACAGCCACAATTTATCAGTAATAATTGAGACGATGGACCAACGTTCAGCCAACATTGGCCCAACATCGAATGGCCAGCCAAAAGCCAACATTTAAAATTTAAAATTGAGACGATGGACCAACGTTCAGCCGACGTAAGCCCAACGTCGAATAGCCAACCCAAAGCCACCATTTAAAAAAAAAAAATTGAGACGATGGACCAACATGAAGCCAACATTGGCCCAACGCCGAATAGCCAACCAATAGCCAACATTTATGAGTTAAAATTGAGACAATGGACCAACGTTCAGCCAACATTGGCCCAACGTCGAATAGCCAACCAATAGCCACCATTTATCAGTGAAAATGGCAACAATGGACCAACGTTGAGCCAACTTTAGCCCAACGTCGAATAGCCAACTAATAGCCACCATTTATCAGTGAAAATGGCGACAATGAGCCAACGTTAGCCCAACGTCGAATAGCCAACCAAAAGCCAACATTTATCAGTAATAAATGAGACAATAGACCAACGTTCAACCAACATTGGCCCAACGTCGAATAGCCAACCAATAGCCAACATTTATCAGTGATAATTGAGACGATGGACCAACATTTAGCCAACATTGGCCCAACGTCGAAGAGCCAACCCAAAGCCACCATTTATCAGTGAAAATGGCGACAATGGACCAACATTGAACCAACAATAGCCCAACGTCGAATAGCCAACCATAAGCCACCATTTATCAGTGAAAATGGCGACAATAGACCAACGTTCAGCCAACATTGGCCCAACATCGAATAGCCAACCAATAGCCATCATTTATCAGTGAAAATGGCGACAATGGACCAACGTTCAGCCAACATTGGCCCAACGTCGAATAGCCAACCAATAGCCACCATTTATCAGTGAAAATGGCGACAATGGACCAACGTTCAGCCAACATTGGCCCAACGTCGAATAGCCAACCAAAAGCCAACATTTATCAGTGAAAATGGCGACAATGAGCCAACGTTAGCCCAACGTCGAATAGCCAACCAATAGCCAATATTTATCAGTGATAATTGAGACGATGGACCAACATTTAGCCAACATTGGCCCAACGTCGAATAGCCAACCCAAAGCCACCATTTATCAGTGAAAATGGCGACAATGGACCAACATTAAACCAACAATAGCCCAACGTCGAATAGCCAACCAAAAGCCACCATTTATCAGTGAAAATGGCGACAATGGACCAACGTTCAGCCAACATTGGCCCAACGTCAAATAGCCAATCAATAGCCACCATTTATCAGTGAAAATGGCGACAATGGACCAACGTTCAGCCAACATTGGCCCAACGTCGAATAGCCAACCAATAGCCACCATTTATAAGTGAAAATGGCGACAATAGACCAACGTTCAGCCAACATTGGCCCAACGTCGAATAGCCAACCAATAGCCACCATTTATCAGTGAAAATGGCGACAATGGACCAACGTTCAGCCAACATTGGCCCAACGTCGAATGAGCCAACCAATAGCCACCATCTATCAGTAAAAAATGGCGACGATGGCCCAACAATTAGCCAACGTTGGCTTGCCGACTGCGACCCTGCCGACCGTGGCCGACGTTGGCCCAACGCCGTATTGTTATCTGGGATATAATGGCCAGGGAGAGACGGGAAAGAGAGAGGTAGAGAGAGAGAGAGAGAGAGAGGGAGAGAGAGAGAGATATCTAAAAATGAGTGACGGGCCAGATTAAACGTGACAGAGAGCGTACGAATGAGAAGATAAACACAAAAGACGAGTAAATATTGATCCATAATGTGTGCATTTTAAAGGAAAATCGTATCGATTGTTTGTTCCTTGAACCTTGATCAGTCAAACAGCCTAGATTGGGATTGGGAAAGACCTCTACGTACACATGAACAATAGTATAGAGTACCGAAGTACTAACCCTCATATTCGCTCGACGTATGGGTATATGGTCCTGCGCATGAGGTTTACTGCGAAATAATTCAAAAAACGGGCCGGAGCGGGGAAAGTATAGAGTAATTGGGACTGGTGTGAAAACCACGCCATTGTTTAGCACAAAATTATCGGGAACAGGCAACATTTTATTGACAACTTTGCCAGTATGACGTCACACTTCGGTACTATGTCATTATGGAGTGGTCAGTAATTCGGAATCCTGAGGAATGTCCGTTTGATAAGTAGTTATTTTGAATCTTGGAAATCGCTCATGAATTATCTTAACAATGACCGTGACAAAAAGATGTCTAATTTAACGATGAATGTTAGTTAAAAAAAAAAAAATTAAAAAAAAGCAGACTTAGCTTATGATAAAGATAAGTAACACCCCCCCCCCCCCAGAGGCTGTATATGGCATAATTATGGTCCGGCAATAAAATGCTCCTCGATCACTTTTTGCTGTGAAAAGTTGGCAGGAATGCTAACTCCTCTTACCTACCTGCATATTTATGGTCAAGTGTAATTTGAAATGAGAACCTCATCGTGTACTCATTTTACAATCTAAAACAAAAGTCTGTTTCCGAGGTAACACATTTTATAGTTGCAGGGGATATAGAAAATCTAGTAGATGAATTATACATCCTAAAGGCATGATCGATATAGGAGTGAAAGGATGAAAGTCCTTTTAATTCTCATAAGAAGGAATCGATTCGTTCAACTTCAACTTCAAATTAAATAATGTATTAAAACCAATATTGGAAGAAAAACCCATTGTAAACGCAAATGCATATTCACATCACACTCTATGTGTTTTATCAATGTCCACGTTATCTTAAAGGTACTATGTCCCTTTTGCAGCCAACCTCAAATGCTGTAGAACTTTGCAGGAATTATGAATATGTCATGTATGTCCTATCTGTGAAATTTAAACGTTAGCAGTGTCCTCATATTCAAATTATGCAAGGAAACCCGTTTACTTGCTAGACTTCACTGTCAGACACTATTGAGTGACTGACTGGCTTTTTCTTCTTTGGTAATAACATACATAAAATGAGCTGTAAAGAGTACATGATCATTTGTCTACATCAATAACCCACTTCTTGTGATGGCCAAGATTAAACTGATTGAATCTTTGCGCAGCATAAAAAGTATGACCATTCGGTACAATTGTCTGAAAATCAAGACTATTACTTTTGGGCTCTATAGCCCTAAAGTCGATTTGACAACTAATAATCGTTATTTTCCCACTTGAAGACATTTTCAAGCCCCACCTTTTTTAGGGGAGTTCTAAATTAGTATTATCTTTCAAATGCAGTTGGAATTTAACTTTTTCATTTTTTTTGGCCTGCAAATGGGACATAGTACCTTTAAGGGCAATTGGTATCTGCTATAAACAATTCGATTTTGTAAATAGATTATGGAAATTTAATCGCATTTAGTAAGGAAACAGTTGGAGGTGTCGTGATGTAGTGGACATGTCATCGCACTGTTGATCAGGGGGTGTTTCACAGAACTTGTCATCAGTAACAAATGACAGTTTTTGTTAAAAGCTACTGAAATACTTGCTTCTGATTGGTTATCAGCAGATTTGTCACTGGTATTTCTCATTTGTCATTGAAAAAAGGCTTTGTGAAACGGGTCCCAGGTGGTTCGCGGCTCCAGTCCTGCTGTGGAACAAATGCCATTTTAGCAAGACATTAATCTATATTTACCACACTCGATCGAGGTGAGCTAAATGGGTACCTGGCACGAATTAATTCCTTGAAATGCTCGGGCGCCATAATGGCAGCCATGTTTAAACCGGGGCAATCATTTTGGAGCGCTAGAAGTGGCACTTCTAATAGACCTGAGCGCTATTCAAGAACCTGATATTGTCAATTCATCTTAAATCCTATCTGCACTAGTTTGGCCAGGAGGGATTAGACCTCCCTGCATGGTCACTGACAGGTGGTTATCTCATCAAATCAGCTCTCGATTAACATTACACGCGCCTTGAGCACTCCACAGAGTGGATTTGGCGCGATATAAGTTACATTATTATTTATTATTATTATAAGGAAAAGGGGACCATGGGGGAACAACGGTCACCACTTAGGCATTGTTTGATATATAGGGCGCAAGTATAGCAATAGGTAGTGCAATTGGGCTTTAAATAAGAATCTTCTTTTTCTTAATATACCAGGAGAAGGTCATCTTCATCCTTGCTGACGGTCTAAGATGGGATCGGTTCGGTCAGGCCCTACCAAACTTCATCAAGATGGAGGAGAATGGAGTAAAAGCTGATTGGTTGAATGGCGTCTTCATGACCATGACTATTCCTAGCACGTTCTCTATCGCTACAGGTGGGTACCTGAATGTGTCTAAATAACAATAGTAACTATTTGGGTTTATTTATGGTGGTGGTGGGTTGTTCTTTTTTACCTGACTGCTAAGAAAGCATACATTCTTGTAAGCAACCAGACAGCCGACGGCTTTAGGTCCTCTCCGAGGGACCTGGTAATGAGGATTAATGCCTTACCAGAGGGCACTAGCGCATCGAGACCACTGCTCTACCGAGTGAGGGTAACCGCATCATAATTATGTACAACTACTCATGCGGGCTGTACAACTATTTATACCCAATCATTACCAGGCACTCGTTTAATGCATCTCGGTCCAAATGTGGGTAAAATGCAAATGCACACATCCGGCAAGGATCGAACCCAGAAACCCTTCGTATCAGAGTCAATAACTTTCACCAATATCATAATTAGGCCTAATTGGTAAAAGTTTTCTTAATCATTGGGGGGGGGGGGGGGTCGCATTCTTTTTTTACCTCAGGCGCCAATCCCTAGATATGACACTGAGTGGGATAAGAGACCACATCGGCCATAGGATGTTGGTTCGTCGTGTATACGATTTGCAGATAATTTTAGGCTATTTCGTAAAAAAGAGAAGGCTGAAAAATCCCTCTGATTTCGCTATCAATATTCAAATGGCAAATGGGAAACCCTCGATCCCTCAATAAGGATTCATACATTTTTCAGATTTCAGTTAGTATGCCTTCATCCGGTATCCGTGTCCGGTACGTAAGGTCCTTAACAAATTTTGGATAAATTGCCTTAACCATATCAACAGTTACCCGTCGTGTTATTAAACAAATAATACACAGTGGTGACGGCATTAGTAAGAATTACCCACACAAGGTACCTTTGGAACAGTCTAACACGCCCGAGGCGATAGCCGAGGGTGTTTGGACCGTTTCGAAGGTACCTAGTGTGGGTAATTATACTATTAATGCCCGAACAAAATGAATTGTATTATTGTTTTATAAGATGATGTTTTATTTGTTTTATAAAATGATGTTTTGGTCATTAGTAAAATTACGTGTTAGGCAAAATGAATGCCTGGTCACGTGTACGCTCACAACCAATCACTTGATAAGGATCCACATCATCTTTATAAATGCCAATAAGAAAGGGAAAAACCTTATTGTAAGCTTCATATAGATTGTCATAACGGTAATCTCGCATCAAGATGAGGGTAGGCTGTATGCTGAACACCGGGAAATATCACAGTTTATCCCTTCGCCCAACCCTTGGACAATAACCTTATAGTACTCTTGAGATTGACATGGCATTCGATACGACCATGATTCTCGTATCAAATGACTTTAGGCCTGTTCTCATCAGACCGAAGTGGCAAAAATAACCCGCTATTTTAACTAGCCCGATCTAAAATTAGCCAGCTAATATGCGTCCTCATCTGCCCGCAGTTGCAATTAGCGGGCTATTTGGTCGAGAAAGTATCCCGAGAAATCTTGGTCTTGTTTCCAAAATAACCCGATATTTGGGAAATAGCGGGTTAATTGGCGCCCGTCCGAGCTAGTTTGTGAGCAATTTCGAGCTTCGGGAGAATATCCCGAGTCTGATAAAATAGCGGATTATTTTGCAACTTCGGTCTGATGATGACAGGCCTATTGTTGAAGGAAGTGATGGAGGAAGCTCTTGCTGATAAATCATTTCAAAAGTATATTGTATTGAAGAGAAGGTCGTGTTACCTGGTCAGTAAAGGTGAAGATTAATTTGAGAGCTTTCCAATACGCTGATCTTTTTCCTATTTGAAAGAATATCATATTTGGAATGTTATAGTACTCGAAAAGGATGTTCAGCTGCCCTTTAAAGGCATTGCTTAACAATGTTTTCAGTTTTACAAATCTGAGATACATTATGTCCCTACGTGTTATCAGTGTCTGTGATATAAATATCGAAGCCATAAGACAAAAAATGGCGATTAAAAATAATCATAAAGTGCCCCAATAGAGTAAAAGATCTTTGAGTGAACGGTTTTACCATACTCATTTATCATGGGCCCTAATTATATTTTGTATCATAATTATCAGGGGGGTGTTTCATAAAGCCGTTCGTAAAGCTACGCATGAATTTACGAACGACTTATATATGAAACGCGAAATGGAAAGCTCAATGTTTTTAACTGCATCAACTAAAGTTGAACTGTGCAGATGTAGATTAACATTCTTATTATAACAAACATTGTTAATACAAAGTATATTTTTTGCCATAACTTAATTGAGGTTATTGGAAATGTAGTCACATGTTGTGAAAACATCTGGAAATACTTTGGGCATGCTATCTGGCACTTCATATTCAGGTCGTTCGTAAAGTCATGCGTAACTTTACGAACAGCTTTATGAAACACCCCCAGGGTTGTAACTTGAAAGCCATGCATGGTGCAATACACAAGCTGTTCTTCAATGCTACGTCAGGCAGGAAATCACTATCATTGATGGCGCATTATACTTTCTTCCATACGTTATAAGTGTTTATATTCATTTGTTATGACCGTTGCAGGTGATGCGTCATTTGCCTGACTTATGAATGCGTCAGTGCCTGATGTGATGTTTGATGCGTCATGAGATTATATAGTGGGCAGTGCGTAAAATTTGCTGAATTACTGGCTTTCGTACTAGTTGATGTTGTTGTTGTTTTAGTTTTTATTGGCATGTTTCATTTATGTAGGGATATTTACGCCCTATCGAGGTCGTTGATTGTTTAGCCTAGGTACTGACGCAATGATATTAACGCATCATCATGTTCGTCATATTCTAGGTTTGTATCCTGAGAGCCATGGTGCAGTACACAACCTGTTCTTCAACGCTACGTCAGGCGAGAAGTCGCCGTCATTCATGGCGACCATGAACTACACGGAGTGGTTTGACACAGGCGCAGAGCCGATTTGGGTGACGACTATCCTGCAAGGTGGCAAGGCCGGTACCATTCTGTACACGGGGAGTAATGTGCCTATCAAGGGAGTGCAGCCGACAAAAAATATACCAATTAATCTATCAGGATCATGGTGGGTATATAGCTTCTTCTTCTTCTTCTTCTTCTTCTTCTTCTTCTTCTTCTTCGTGTTGTTGCTTTTGTTCTACATTTGCCACTCTCCACCCAGGTGTAAATGGGTACCTGATATGCTTGAGCGCTAGTTACTTTGGCAGCTCGGCTATAGCCAGGGTAATATGTGTAAAGCGCCATGAGCGTCAGAGTCTGGCGGATACCGGCGCTATATAAATAATAACCATATTATAATTATTATTTTTTGTTGATGTTGTTCTTGTTTTTGTTGTTGTTGTTGTTGTTATTGTTGTTCTTCTTCTTCTTCTCATTTTGCTGTTTTAAAGCTCATAATACACGACGTGTCTTTTGCTGAAATTGGGCTGCAGCGTTTGACGCACAGCTACGCTAACCAAACGTATGCAGTTGATTGGTGTAAGCACCAATAATCCAACGCAATGCTTGCACTGTTCATTTGTTCATTCGCTTCATGTACGTTATCACTCTGCCGTGGTATGTCAAAGACCTTGCCCTTCTTGGATGGACGCAGTCATACGTCAGTGAAACTAGGGACCTTCCGATTTGCACGTCGACATAGTGGACTGCTACGTGTGACGTCCTTTTAAAGCGCAGTCCAATAAAAGGACGTCACACGTAGCAGTCCACTATGTCGACGTGCAAATCGAAAAGTCCCTAGTGCCTCGCGTGCAACGGATACCCTTCCTTGATCAAAACTGGTCGAGGGACATCCCTACTACTGTAAAAATCTGCTAATTGCCTTTTTTCTTTTCCGATGTCGTATAGCTTTGGATTACCAATGGGGGATCGCATCGATACGGCGTTGTCATGGATGACGGACGAAGATTTCGACATCGTGGTCATCTACTTCAACCTGCCCGACTTCAACCTCCACAGCTACGGTACCGAGGACCAGCGCACCTTCGATACCCTGCACGAGGTCGACGAGGCCATCGGCTACCTCTTCGATCGCATTGACGAAGAAGGCCTGACCGACATCGTCAACGTCATCATCGCCAGCGACCACGGGCACATCAATTCGGAGGTTGGGAAACATGTCCTGCTGTACGACTACATCAACAGTTCGGATGTCGAGTTCATTGTGGCTGACTATGGTCCATGCTTTCAGCTCAACCCGGTCGATGGAAAGCAAGATGAGGTAAATTACAAAAGTAAATAAAATTTGAGAAAAAACAAGCAAACAAGCAGACAGACAAACAAACGAACGAACTAACAGACCAACAAACAAGCTCAGAGAGTACTTTCATATACAGGCTCCTTACTGGCAAAGCTGGTAAAATTGTCTTGAGTGACGATCAAAATTGATGTTTACTTCATGAGTGGTCCCCAGAAAATGTTACAGCGCCATCTTCTGAACTTGTGAACATACATTTTTGATATAATCGTGAATTCGACAAAGAGGTATATTTTTCAACTCTCCCTTCCCCTAATCATCTCTGTCTCTCTCTCTCTCTCTCTCTCTCTCTCTCTCTCTCTCTCTCTCTCTTTCTCTTTCTCTCCCTCTATCTCTCTTTTTTTTTCTCTCTCTCTCTTTCTCTCTCTCTCAACTCTCCACTCTCGTTCTATCCATCTGCTATCCTTCCCATATTCCTACACGTTCGCCCTCCATCCCTCCCTCTGTCTTAAAATGAATGAATCTTCTTCCCTTCTCGATCCACATGTCTTTCTTTCTCCTGTCTACACCCTTGCTCATTACCCCTCTTCCCCTTCCCTTCTTCCCAACCTTCCTCTCTCTGTCTAAAATTGTCTGTATCTCCCTCCCTTCTCGATCCACATCCTTTTATGTCCCCTTCCCCCACACCCTTGCACATTACCCTTCTCCCTCTCCCCATCTCCCCTCCTCTTCTTCCTTCTCCCCTCCCCTTATCCCTGTCTCTCTGCCTCTGTCCCTGTCTCTTTCTCTTTCTCATTCCATCCTTCCACCAGGTTTACACCACTCTGAAGAGCGCCCACCCAGCACTCACTGTGTACAAGAAGGAGGAGCTACCTGAGAGGTATCACTATGGCAACAACGAACGTGTTCTCGATATCTTCGGCTGCGTTGATCCGGGCTGGCATCTTCATACGGTAAATTCCATGACAATTGTTTGGGGGAAGCCATCCAGTTATAAAAGAGAAGGATGAGTTTTATAGTAAAGAAAAACAAATTTATGAGATTTCTCATGGTTTTTTAAGAATATCAAAGTAGAAATGTTCTTTGAAGAGGATTACCCTTAAAACATCGCCTGTGTATCCTAAACATTAATCTAAGTGTAGTCCTAGTTCCATATACCCTTTTCTGTGTGCAGTGCATGATATTCTAAGCAAGACTAAGTCAATTTCTTGTCAGTTTTTCATTTCGTTTAGTTCATTATAAAACTTCACAATATACACAAATTCGTATGTCCTACATCATGCAACCTTTCCACCTTGCATTATTTCTTAACACAATCCTTGTAATGATGATGACTCGCTAAGTCGTCCTTTCTCCTCAAATATTGTCACAACTGATTGTTTTGGTTAATCTCTGAATTCATTCAAGTTATCGCAATGAGCCTAATTTCATTGATTATTTATCGATTAAAAAAAATGTCCTATTTTTTTCTTCTTCATTTTCATCTCTCTTAGACAATCCAAGGCAACGATACATTCCTTATCTCCGACCATGGCTACGATAACAAATGGATGGTGATGAAATCCTCTTTCTATGCCCAGGGTCCGCACTTCAAGAAGAACCACCGCGCCACACCTTTCGAATCGGTATGAAAAACTGACTCAACAATGCCCTTTGCACGTTAGGCGTCTCTTATTGACGTAGGATTGCGTCAATGACTTGCGCATGCGCGATATTCGACGCGTCATTAATTGACAGTGACATCGTATTCAAATGTGAATGCAAAATAGACAGTACCAGCGTATGCAGTAATTACCAGGGCCGTAATTAGTAAACTTCTAAGACATTTTCTTAAACTTCAACAAAAAAGTATTAGACTTTAATTGTCCTATTAATTATAGACACAGAGGTTTATTTTAGCGTAGGTAATCACGCGCTCGACATGACAACTCTTCTGCCTCGGGCATTACATAACAGGGCCCGTATTCAGTAAACTTTTAAGACATTTTTCTTAAGAAAAAGAAAAAATGTCGTTTATTGAACACTGTCCCAGTGTTTTATTCATAAACAGGATATGCTCCGAAGTAGGACAAATGCACCATCTTCACCAAAATGTTTTTTGATCATTTTTCTCGATAATTCATACTTGCAGGTCGACATTTACTCGATGATATGCGAGATCCTTTCGCTCCACCCAGCTCCAAACAACGGATCACGCGAACGCTATGAGGCCATATTTGCTATTACAGGCGCAGCGAACCGGTCGGTTTCCGCTACTGTGCCTATCTGTGTATTTCTCTTCATAACTTCAATGTCATTATTCATGTAAAGCGTATTGGGTCCAAATGGATTTTCGCAATGGGGCTTCTGGAATATTATTTCTACTGATATGTTTGTATGGTTATGAAAAGGTACGTTTTAAAATGTTTATAACAACATTTTTTTCATATACTCCAGCACAAAGAGAGTACCATCGGCCTTCACGCTGCCTTGTTTAGAATCCCTCGAAAGTTTTTGAACAAGATGTTTTTTAAGTGGTTTATCTATTTTGATTTTATTGTGTACAGTTAGGGAGATGGGGAGTATTCTCGCCAGCATATAACAGTCATGTAAATAGTAAAAGTATCTTCAGAACTTTCGATGGATACCTGTATGTGAAATATTTGATATCTGATGCTTCAACTTAAAAATATATATATCTTTCTGTTTGGTATCCATATCGGTTTGCTTTTTATGTATGAATGCTTTCATGATGTGACTCAGGTTAATGCTCTTATTATGTATTGTCTGCTGATCAAGATCTGGAACGGTGTTGACTCATTCGTGTTCAACTTTAATTTAACGGGGACATCCACCCTGATATAAAGTTAGTTTTAATTGTAGCAGAAATTTAGAGAAACAAGTTAGTGAAAGTTTGAGCTAAGTCCGATTTTAAAAAAAAAGGAAAGTTATGAATTTGTGAAGTTATCATCAGTGAAAGACAAATTGGCAACACTGTGACGTAGCGTGCGAGCTCCTTTCCAATTTGCTCCGTACAGACAATTCTTCAACTTACATTTATCGTAGTTATTGATGACGGAATAGACTTGTTTCCTATAGTGGCTCTGTAAAAACATATTTGCAATCATTATATGTAGGGGAAATGTATGATCGAAAATTCTATCAAGGGATAATATAGACTTTTTGAAGTTTGTTTATTACAGGGCAAATGGGAGGGGAGCTCGCAAGATGCGTCACAAAGTAGCCAATTTGTGTTTGATTGGTTGCACCTTTAACAAATCATAACGGTCTTAATTTTAATCATTTTTTGCTCAAACTTTTTCCCACCTGTTACTCTCACGTTTCCGCTTCTATTAAAACCAACTTAAAGATGTTCATGCGTAGTTATATAGTCGTTCGTAAAATAGGCAAGTTGGCGATCACTATACATAACACTGAGCCAACGGGTATTGCGCTCCCGTGCGTAACAAGTTGTGCTGCCCTCTATATACCCACCGCATGAGCAACTTTAATATCAGGGTGGACTTCCACTTGAATACCCTTCTGGCCGTCAGCATACAATAATCATGTTTATGCCTATGTTTATATTGTATATAACACCAATGGGAAACGAAATTCTGTATAACTATAAAATTATATGCACAATAAAACTGAAATTTGGAATCTTGAATGTTATCTTTGTATGTAACAAAAGTGGTGAGCATAATTCTGTATCATTATAATACTGACAATGAATCTTGAATCTTGAATCTTGTCTCCAAGCTTTCCTCAGCTCCCTCTCCATAAAAACCAACTGCTGCCCAGAAAGACCGTGTACAATATCTGAATGCCTCTCTAAATGATTTATTTGTAGATGTGTGATGATGATGATATTGATTATATGCGGTTCCTTTTCACATAGTTTAACACAAATTTGAATAGATACATTGCTGTATCGCTATATTTGTATGATTACACTGTTTATGTATTTTCATCGATTAAAGCATGGTTGAAAACAGTGAATCACGTAATAAAGTGCCGTTACCTCGTCATCCAGCTCAAGGCCACAGTAGGAGAAAGTTTTGACAGACAATGTAGTACGTGCTTGTCTGGTCTTACATCCCTTTTCTTCTAAAAATATCCATCGAGGTGCTAGGTTTCGAGGATTCCTGCCCCATAAATGCGACCCTTCACACTCATTTTAACCTCTGTTTACAGAGAGACTTGTTTCGATGGATGCTAGGCGTGATATCATCAATTACCATTTTTTATATGAATTATAGATGAAAGTATACTCTTTTCATCCAATAAATATGCCTATATTGAGCTTTTCATGTTGCAATAATAATGATAGTGATAATAATAATGGTGATAATAATATCAATTATGATGATAATGATGATTATAATGATGATGATGATAATGATAATAATGATGATAATGATAATAATGATTATAATGATTATAATGATTAAAAATGATTAAAAAACAAATGGTCAGGGTCTGAGAGGGATAAATGGAAAGAGAGAGGGGGAGGGAGAGGGTGAGAGAGAGAGGGAGAGAGAGAGAGAGAGAGAGAGAGAGAGAGAAGGATAGAGGGAAGAGAGAGAGAGAGAGAGAGAGAGAGAGAGAGAAGGATAGAGGGAAGAGAGAGAGAGAGAGAGAAAGAGAGAGAAGGAGAGAGAAAGAGGGGAGGGAGAGCGCGAAAAGAGAGAGACAGAGAGAGACACAGAGAGACAGAGAGAGACATAGAGAGACAGAGAGAGAGAGAGACATAGAGAGACAGTGTGAAAAGGGGGAAATTGAAGGGATTTTTTTTTTTTTTTTTTTTTTAAAGACGGGAGGATAAAGCAATAGTACGAAATAGAAAAAAAGACACTTACAGAAAAAAAGAAAATGAGCAAGTTTTAAAGTAAGATTAAATAGAATAGATAGATATACATACAAATATGAGGAGCAAGAGAGAGAGAGAGAGAAAGAGAGAGCGAGAGAGAGAAAGAGAGAGAGAGAGAGAGAGAACAGGATCAGGAAGAGAGATTGAACAAATATATTTATAGTGAGGGAGATAAACATCATTTTGTATTCACTGGATGCTGTATTATGTTAAAATATAAAGTAGTACAGGTCCTTTTCGGACCTAATGTAAAGGACATCACAGTTTTTTTATTACATTATATTATACTAATGTAAAGCGCTTTGAGCATGATTATGTAAAGGCGCTATATAAATATCAATAGGAATATATAGGATACTATGGAGGTCGGACTCAGCTCGGGATACTTCAAACGTTTCCTCTTGCCAAAATTAGACGAATTCAATTAATTCCTCGACAAAAATTAATACATCTGTCACTGTTCGGTACCAATCAGGCCTTGACCAACTAAAAATACTTGTATTCTAAAAAGGGATTGACAGTTTGGATATTAATAGCCCTCCAAAACCACTAGTTACAGGCAATACAATTAGCTTACACTCAATTATTTTCTCTATTATTTATCCGCTGGGATGTCAGCTGAGTTCCCATGTATATGTCTAAATGATTTTTTTTTTACCAAGGCTTGTTTGAAGCACGAAATTGTAAGTTTTACGATTTCCCTTTTTCCTAGGGTCTATGCAAGCACAATAATTCTACCACCCATCGCCTCCAGTGACCATAATTGTGTAATGTGGATACCTGTGAAAAATACAGAAACTCGCAATACTATTCGGAAGAAAATTGTAAGACCCTTACCAGATAGCGGCCTCCGGGCATTCGGTAGTTGGATAACTAATCATACTTGGGAAGATGTCCTTCAAGCTGATAACCCATCTACGAAGTGTGATATGTTCCTGAAGGAGATCCAATCCCATCTTGAATTACATCTCCCACCCAAGATTATCCGTTTCCACGAAAGCGACAAACCGTGGATTAATGGTGAGATCAAGTCACTTATACGTCAAAGACAACGGGCTTTTACAGATAAGAAGGAAAATCTTTGGCGTTATCTGAGGAACAAGATTATCCGATCCATAGCTGCAGCCAAGAAGCAGTACTACAACACAAGAGTTCGCAACCTCAAGGCTAACGATCCCGCAGCTTGGTATAGGAGAATCAAGATACTTACCAACAGTTGCAAAAATCATGTCCCAATTACGATACCGGGAGTGGAACATAACAATTTTAGTTCATTTGAAATTGCAAACCTCATTAATGAACATTTCTGTACTATAGCGGCAGACTTACCAAAGCTTCAGAGATCACACTTACCTGCATTTTTGCCTGCCCAATACAATTGTCCCCTAGTACAACCATGGCAAGTGTACACATACCTACGTTCTCTTAGTCAAGGTAAATCCGGAATTACTGGGGATATTCCTGTTCGGATCATTCGCGAATTTGCCTATGAATTGTCAGTCCCACTTACAGATATTCTTAATGTATCATTCCAAAAATCTGAGGTTCCATTACAATGGAAACAAGCAGAAGTAGTTCCTGTTCCTAAGGTGCACCCACCGACACTTTTGGACCTTAGACCAATAGCCCTGACAAGCTATTTTGCTAAGATAGCCGAATCGTTTATTGCCAAGTGGCTGTTAGAAGATATAACAAAAAATCTTGATCCTAATCAGTTTGGAAATCGTAAAGGCTTATCGACGACACATTACCTCATTGGTTTGATACACCAGATATTGGAGAATGCAGAAAAGGTGAAATTTACATCAACGATATTGACTACAGATTATTCGAAAGCCTTCGATAGAATAAACCACAATGTTTTAGTTCAAAAACTTCTCAATTTTGATGTCAGACCATGCCTTATAAACTGGATAATGAGCTTTTTGGATAATCGATTGCAGTGTGTGAAATATAATGGAACAAAATCAAACTGGAATGTCATAAATACAGGAGTTCCACAAGGAACAAAACTTGGACCTTTATTATTTTTGATACTAATGAATGATGCATGCCAAGATTCCATTATACCGTATTTCAAATACGTAGACGATTTGTCAATGGTAGAAAGCAGGAGTATATGTAAAGCTTCAAAATTACAAGATGAACTTCGCAAACTACAGGAATGGTCTAATAGGAATGATATGAAACTAAATGCCTCTAAATGTTCAGTTATGCAAATCTCCTTTTGTAAGCAACCTGTACAACAGACGGCCTTGTTTATTGATGATACCCAACTATGCAATGTAGAATCTCCCAAAATATTGGGTTTGATCGTACAGAGTGACCTAAAATGGAATAAACACGTAACTGATCTCTTGAAGAGAAGTAACAAGAAGTTGTACATACTCAGGAGACTGAAATCATTCAAACTTCCTATTGTAGATCTTATCACCATATTTAGAGGATATATAAGACCGATTGTAGAGTACTGTGCCCCTGTGTTCAACGGAGCTCTTACAAAACAGCACATCTATGCACTTGAATCAATTCAAAAGAGAGCATGTAGAATAATTCTGGGTAGTAGTTATACTTCATACAATGTTGCATTAGAAATATGTAACTTAGTGACTCTTGAGGAAAGAAGAAAACAACTATGTCTTACATTTGCTCATAATCTGGAAGAAAATCCCTTTTCATTGAATTGGCTAGTTAAAAAACAGGAAAGTCGCTACTGCTTGAGGAGAACAACAAAGTACACCCAGTACAAGTGCAAAACTAACAGATTTAGAAAGAGTGCAATACCATACCTTATAGATCTTCTAAATAATGAATAATTGAAATGTATTTTTACACAATGTATATATATATATATATTAACAATATTTGATAAATATGTTTATTATCTAATGTTTTAATACATACCCAACTATGATTTAGTTTTAACGTAGGAAACCATGTTTTACAACCCACTCTGGAATATATTTATCTTTTTACAGAGACATCAATTTATAATTATGTACTTACCGTTGATGAACAGGCAACATAGAGCATTATTTTGCTGACTTTTAATGTTAAAGACACAGGTGCAATAATTTCAGTATTAGCTTTTTACTTATTTGTATGTTATGTATTGTATTGCTTTTGATTAATTGTTGTTATTACTATTGTGAAGTTTAATAGATTTTAGAAATGTAAATAATATATAGTGATTGGTTTTAAATGCTACACATGAATACTGTTAAATGTTACCAATACTGTTTGAATGAATGATTGTAACAAATGAAATATAATGTTATGTAATGAAGCTCATGTATACATGTAAACATGCACAATTCAGCATTTTGGCTGCGAGGCATTGTTTTTTTAATAAAACCATTATTGAATTGAATTGAATAAAGACCGTCAATACTACTGGGCCAGAGGGAATTAGACCACACAGCGAGGTCACTGACAGGTGGCTATCTCATTAACTCAGCTCTCAACTAACATAAGAAAAAGAGGATCATGGGGGACCAACAGGCACCGATTGGGGAAGTTTTCTATATAGAGGGAGCAAGTAGCTACATGTAGGACAGTGGGGATTTAAGGGTAATAATTTAATTTTTGCCAGCAGATAAGCATTGTTGAAAGCACGAAATGATAAGATTTGCGATTTTGTTTTCTTTAGCGTAAATATTTTAGTTCTTGTTTACACTCTTTGCACTTTATAGACAATACAAATGAAAGCCAATTGATTCTATGCAACATTCTAGGGAGTAATACAAATATAACTCATATCATAGCTAAGCTTTAGCTTCATATTCTTCTCCGGCGTACAGACGTGAAAATTACAATTTAAAAATTATATATTTGATAAAAAGTAAGTTAGAGGACTTTTTAAAACTTTTTTTGTAATACGTTTTTGTCCGTGCTTGCAGGATTAAAGATGTGAGGAAAATTCCCTTCACTTTACTAAAGCTTATTGCACAATAATTCTTAACTAACTTATCGGGGACTTTGGTTCGACATCTCCTACCGCCTATCCCATCAATAATATTCTAGCAGCGCCCCTGTGTACATGGACATCAGGGCATGAGAGCGAATGGAAAAAATTGAGATACAGAAAAATATTGGAAATGACAGCGCCTGAATTGAGAAGGCTGTCAAA